ATTATAGCTGAGCTAAATGAAGAGTGCTATGTTTAATGAAGAAGCTATGTTTAATGTCAAAATCAAAATCTTGGCTGATTTCAATGTGCTGTTGGATGTTGTCCGCCATTGCTTCTGTGGTTAACGTCACGTTGTAATCCAACTGCAGTTGAGTTGGACGGCAATTGTAGTTCAAGATGAGCGTTCGATGACGTATACTATCAAGCTCACAAATGGACCAATCAAAGGTTAGCGCCGATTTCCAGCGTACGGCGTCCTGTCCTAAGAAACCAGGCCTTAAGATGATTCGTACAACTGAAACACTTCTCTATCGGGATCGAATCTTATACGATTAGCTTTTTTGTGCACGTTTGGTCTGAGCCGTGCGACGAAGAGAAATATTGCATCATTGAACGTTATTTTTGTATTTCTGGATATTACTAAGAGATGGCGCAACAAGTCCCACATTCCTCACAATTTTCGCAGTAAGATTTCCCGCCTTGAATTGAAATCAAAATCATTTTGTACTTTTTTGTAATTTCCCTCTCATTATTGTTACCGTTACAATTTTGTGATAAATATGATTTTTACGTTATGATACCCAAAAAACTAATTGTAAAGCTGTATTTACGGTAGGGTTGGAAAATTATTTTCCGAAATATTTCTTACCTAATTGTAATAATTATTGTATGCAGATATTTATCTTAAACACCTTAAAGTAATAGAGTTAATAAATATGTTTTTAATAAATTTATTTTTTTAAGATAAAACTCGAGTGCATTGCAGTAAAAAATGAAGATCAGTGGATCACATTCTTCACCACCAATAGATCAAGCAAAAAACTGCTTGCTGACAAAAATGTTTTGAATTTAGGATAGAACACGTATCTTTTCTTTGGGTCGGTAGTTTGAAAAAAAAATCCCACTGTCAATTAAAATCAGCGTTTAGCTTTAAACGTAAGGCACTTAGACTGTGACTCTTTCCGTTTTCCTTGAGACAGAGCTTTAAAAAAACCATGTAAAATATAGGATTAAATTTGTGCCGGTGATATTTTAAGTTACGAAGTCAGACATACATGACTGAGCACTGGTTTGAACACAGCCTTAGATTTCGATTGAATAAAAATACATAGTTACTACTTTTTCACAATATGAAAATAAGACAATTCAAAATTTATTACAAATCAACATTTTTTCTACTAATATTATGTAAAATAATAAAAAATGGTAAATATTTACTAAAAGTTATTGTTCGCGTGGAATCATCGTTGTAAAAACTAATTTTACAATTGCTCGCAAAATTTGTTTAATTCGATTAAAAAGTTTTCAAGATATGGCGAAATACGCAAAAAGTAAAATTAACATTGAGGGGTCCAAAATTTGCACCCTTTCCCTAAACAAATTTTTGTGATCATATTTTCCAGATTGTGGATACCCTCTTTATTTTGGTGGTAAGAAATCTGAATCCATCGAAAAAAAGGTTTGTTTATTCAGAGAAAGTATATTTTTGTGTCGAATTTTATAACTTAAAATATCGCCAATCCTAACTAATTAGCATATTTGAATCCCCCTCTTAAGACAATGAGATTGAGTCCTAGAACAAGAAGATCTGATCATTAGATCACAAGTTATTCAGGGTGGTCTGTTTTTTTAATTTTGTGCACTGTACAACGCTTGTGCTATGCAATTTAATTTAGTAGATATTATTAGCAGAGTTATGATATTTTTCAGTCACCCCGTACTCTGAGCTCTAAAAAAATAAACAACAGTCACTTTTCTAAAATTCCAACTAGTTTTAGAATAATTAAATTCTAAATTTGCGTTTTTTACGGACGAATCTGACAAAAATTTCAATCCAATATCTTGATTTTTTTGCAAATGTATAGGTAGCGAATTTTGAAAATTACGTTTTTCAAGTAGACTCTAGAAAATAATTTTATTCTGTCACGCAGTAGCTTATATTTGACATACAAGACATCGGACGCATCGCTTTTTAAACGTATAGGTACATTTTTTATGACTACTGAAAATCACACTCCTCGTCGTTCAAAAGTGATGTTCGTTGTAGTTCTGACAAAAATGTAATCTATTTTTCAGTCTACTCCAAAAACGTAATTAAAAAAAATAAATTAAAAAATTTTTTTAAAAAAAACTTTAATTTATTATAGAAAACTACTTACCAATTATGTAGTCATAGTGTGATTTTAAATGCCCTGTATTCAGCGGATTGAAAACGTCGGTTGCAAGTAGAAAAGGAAATACATATTTCTGTAAAATTGATATGAATGTCATATTTGAATTTAAATGAATACTTTAGATGAAAATAATGATTTATCAAACTGTCTGTTAAACTTCATTTCCAAATAAAGTGATTGCTGACATCTCTCACGAAGAATTTGCGAACGGTTTCGACATTTATGATGCAGTTTCAAAACAGATTAAATTGATACATGTTTTACATTTAAAATTCAAAAATAATGGGAACTTAAAAATATTTTGTGCAAGGTTTTATAATTATTTATTTCCCATTTGGTTCGTTTTTATTTAAAGTGTTTCCTTACTTTTTGCCTCTTTCATTATGATATAACTATTTTAAATCATGATACTTTCATTCTACATCATTATAGCTAGCAATATCATTCGCTTGTATTTAAACTTATCTATTTTTACTTATTATAAAATGTAGATTCAGTTTTAAAAAAATAATCTAAAAAGTCTTCTAATAGTCTAATAATCTTCTTATTGCTGCTGATTATTTTGTATCATATATTTATACAATATGATTAATTAATTGTTATATTTATATACAATACTCATATAATATAATATATTATATGAATATTGTATATATATATTTGAATAATTATAATTTTATAATATCCGTTTTGCGATTTCCAATTTTTTAATAGTTTAAGAAAAGATAAGGTTGTTAGTAAAGGTTCTCTCAGTTGGATGAATTCAAATAATTACGAAATTTGGTTGTGAATTTTGAATCATTTCATGAGAGGAAATTAGTTCCATCTTTTCAGAAAACACCGATACGTGTCTACAAATATTGAAAACCAAGTTTGGAAAAAAAATTACTTTTGACTAAAACATGGGAAAATCATACATGGTGCGAAGCATAACTATTTAATTTTCGAGTTAAGTAGAAGGACTCAAATTTAACTTTCATACATATATTAGGGCAATACCACGAAATTCACGATGAGTTTTTAATTTCGAACATGGCTCAACATACGCGTTTTAGAAAATGGACGCAGCTCAAATGCATGGAGATAGTATAAAAAAGTAAATAGAATCCAATTTTTTTGGAAACTAAACTAAATTTTAAATTTAATTNGTCCACTTAAAGTTGAACATTGTATATGGATTAATATTTTCAATAAAGCCATATGTAACAACATAAATTATATGAGACAAAAACATGGGTAAAAAAAATAATATGAGATACTAAGCATAATAATTTATGCTTCGAGTTAAGTAGAAGGACTCAAATTTAACTTTCATACACATATTAGGGCATTACCACGAAATTCACGATGAGCTTTTAATTTTGGCTCAACATACGTGTTTAAGAAAATGGACGCAGCTCAAATGCATGGAGATAGTATAAAAAGGTAAATAGAATCCAAATTTTTTGGAAACTAAACTAAATTTTAAATTTAATTTAAATTTCGTTCAATTTTCAATCACCAAAACGAAAACGAATTTTATCACTTGTTTAGAATTTAAAAATTATAAACTCGTAATTTTTTATTTTTTACGTTGATAGTAATTTTTAGAAGAAAAAAAAACATTTTTTCACGTTGTACTCACTTAATTCTATAAAGACTAAATTAACTTCATGGTGATTTATATTCTTTTTAAATATTAAAACAATTCCTTAGAGGCGTGTCTAAATTACGTGAAAAAGGGTTCCCTTTTTTCTGAACGCGCCTATGTATGTCTAGAATATTTTGAAAGCAAATTATACGAGGGTTGCTATTTATATTTC